TAGGCCTTGCGGTAGAAGAAATACTTCAGATGCCGAAAATGCACGCAATGGTTCTCCATTTTCATACGAGTCCTGTACAGAGAATCTCCAACAAATGTTGACAGAATTCCAACAGAAATATAAAGGAGGACCTACTCTTTCAGAAAACACATAAACTTTATGAGGTTGGGTCCTTCATCTTTTGTACAACAGTTGATAAATCCGAGGCGTCGAAAATCGGCGGGAACTTTTCGGACAACCCAATACTTCCGTTTCTTTCCCTTCACTGCTGTAGTGTACTTTCTGAGACTTCCTTTTAGCGGAGGAAGTGCTGCAGACTGCCAGCAAGTCGTGGGCTATGGCCAGGGCAAAGACCCTCTCTCCTTCTTCGTTTCTGACTCCCATTCCTCTACCTCCACGTACCCTTTCCATTCCCCTCCTTTCACTGCCGACGTGCCCATTTAGATCACCTCCTACGGTAAGATAATCCCCTCCGAAATGATCGGATGGCCTCGTCAAGTCTCAGATAAAACTCATTCCTTTCGTAGTCGGGACAGCCGGCTCAAGTCGCGTACACCGATATTAGTGTCCAATACCCCTCCTTCGAGCCAATCCTCACAGCCATGATCCGACTGCTGATCCTGTTTATGGCAGAGACAGAGTCTTTAAGGGATTCTGCCACTGCTATGGCCACAGAAGACTGTCTTCTGTAGAAGAGTTTGACACCCCCTACAATTTTCCTGCCTTTTGCTCCCCTCCGGCGGGTTTCCTGAAGGCATAGGACTCAAATGTTCCTGCGCCTCATAAGATCAAAGACCCCTCGGGACTTCCCAGTAAGCGATCTATATTTAGAGTTCCCATTCGAACTTACTTCTTTGGCCGAGGTCGTCCACTTCCCGGTAGTCCTTGCATACTGTCCACGAATTCGGGAGGGGATCCACTTCGGGGTGACGTCCTAGCTTTGTCATTGATACTTCTTGAGACTTCGGACATGTTTTTTTGTGAAAGGGTTTCTCCGTCAACCGGCCAGTCAACCTGGGCCTGACGCTGGTACCGGTACCATTTTCGCAAACTTTGCAAGGCATGGAGTTGCATCGATAGGGATTGAACTCGCACTCCTCTAAGTGCAGACGGGAACCTACACTCTTATCCACTCGGCTATCCCTGCCCGTCTACTCTTCACTCTGGATATGGAGATAAAACTTTCTCAACGGCACGGCAAGTTGCGACAGACGACCAGTTTTACCAATATCAATTTTAGTTTGATAGTTACTAGATACTGCTTCTGTAAATGTGTACCAGCTGAGATTAGCTAGTTTCCCCTTACTGAACAGTAGTGAATCTGATCAGTCTTCGAGAGATCCTATTCCACCGTCAACCTTCTGCACTGAATCTCTATTCACAGTTCCACCAAACGCGTTCAACTGCTCAGAAGGGAAGTGCTCTAGTATGGAAACAAAGTAGTTCGTGTATCACCCACAAAAATACAAAATCTCTGATTTGGATGTTTAAGATTCTGCCACAGCAACTAAGGTAAACGGCGAGATTCAAATGAGACAGGGATGAAAAGGGTAAAGTCTTTGGCACTAATCGATTTCGTTTTAGAGAAGTAAGCACTACTATCCAACTCGACTCGGAATGTTCAAACTGGCAACTGATAACTTTGTTTTTGAAAGGTGAGCACTATGAAAAAGTGAAATAAACATTTCGACACCTGAACCTATTTAAGGCTCACAGAGTAGGTACGTTCTATTATAGTTCTGTGTGTCATTTAGCTTTCACCTGGAAAGCCTACAGAAGTGCAACGATTCGCATAAACGCTTATAACGACTCCTGCAAACGAAACGTCTTGACTACAACGTAAGTTCAAGTTCAGGTTTCCGTTTTGAGCCCAGTTCAAAGCGATATTTTGAGGTTGAAGAATGTTCCTTAATTTCTGTCCGATGCTTCTGGTGCTGGCCAGTTTTGCATCCACATTCTACAGTGCATCTGCAGCAGATTTCAAGGTCAGGATTTGGCAAAGAATTCGACATTCTCAGGCACAAACAAGATGTTGTCTTTTAAGAAATAGCACCGATGAATGATGTATTCTCTTATCGAAAAACGATGTATAGGGAGCATGGGTGTAACAGATGTTTTGGGAGGGAAAGAAACGGAGGCTGCCATTTCCCGCTTTGCAATTCCGATTGAAAGAAAAGAACCGTATATTAACCTCATGACCGCCATTTGTCATGCTAGGCATGAATGTACAATCTGATTGGTAGAGTTGAGTTACGCAGGACATGGAGATCAGTTATCAAAACCGTGCTTTTACCTTATCCTTCTGAGTATAGACCACTTAGTTCGTGCTCCATTTAACAGCTGCATGAGACCACGAGACCTAGGACTACATGTTTAGAATGATAGTCACTCCATTCGCAGTAGAAGGTATGTGTACGGCTGATTGGTATGTCTGTTCCAAGGATGATAGTGGTGATAACGGAACCCGACCGGTAACGTTATCGTGTCAAACGAGTAGCCATTCTATATCAGTCCAAGCCGATTGACTGGTCCTATCCCAGATGTTTCTCTCACCTCTCTCAAGCACAGTCACTTTCGTATGAAGCCATCATTCAGGGGACTACTTCAGCGTGTGCCGGCTTCATTGAAGGTGATTGGGAAACAAATTAAGAAGTAATCTAGTGGTTATACGATACTTCTATCGAACTAAGCAGAGGGGACTGCAGAATGTACTGCTGAAAACCTTTTCATTTTTGTTCCTGAAAATTGTCGGAGCGTTGTCATTGCTGATAAAATAAGTAACTGTTTCCGAGATATTACTGCAGTTTGCCATTTTTTAGGTTACATATAACACTGCCAAGGATTCATGCGCTCAAGCTGGCGATACCAATCAAGGCACTCTCCGAGTGAAAAGAATCTGGACTGTGTTCTATGACAAACAAACGAAGATTGTAAACAACATTAAAGTTGCCAGCGTTAAACACGATGCGATTAGGGGTTCTGCTTCCATTAAATACAATGGAACAATGACCAACTTGCGTGTCGGGCTCTACGTTTTGGTTATCCGTACTACGAAAATCCGCGAAAACGAGAATCCGGAATCGAACGTGCTGCAGATGTCGAAAACCCAGTGGGGTGGCGGTAGGCTCTCAAATCCCGGTGTTGGCTTGGATTTCTCAGAAATGTATTTTGAATCACCATTCGCGCTCAAAGTTGACATCGTTGAATTAACAAAAGCCGGAGAGGTTGATCGAGGGTAAGACGCCCTTTTTACAGAGAAAATCATTTTGTAAAGAAAAAAAGCTGTTTTCAGAAGTTATACACTTAATCAGTGTTGGGATGATAAGAAATGGATTGCAAATGAGGGTCTTTATAAGCTGAACGTCGTCAATGGAAAATGGTATCCTGTCTACTATAATCCCATGAATGCAGATTTTTACTATGAATACGATTAATTGTTGAATAAATTTGTTTTTTTGATTGAGTTGTTCGATTTGCTCGATGGTGGCCTAGCTGCAGGGTGGCACATAAGTCTCGATATGAAATCCTGAGAGCAATAGCCTTTAAAAGAATTCGAGAGAAGTTGGTGTCATTATGACGGTACAAAGCCTTTTCGGGAAATCACCTGAAAGTGGCAGAAGTGGCTGGTTGAGCGGCTTTATCGAGGCCGCTGAATAGGTGTATTTGGAAAGTACCTATGACAGTATCTTTGCATTTTTTAACCTAATCCTACTCTTGTGGGTGACTATGGTTGTGAACATACGAAGGTTCAACCCAGTTTTTCACTCCGTCCGTTTGTCTATTTGGTCGTTTGTCTGTCTATCCATGTTGGGTTGCTTCCATAGCAACCGACGATCGTCCTAAATTCAGCGAATCAGGACTTTGTTGCAAAGATCACGTAATATTTAGAAATTACAGTTGAGAATATTAAGTATAAGGTCTTTGGGCATCTGGCCAATCCCGTCTGAGGATTGCGCGCCGCATCGACTTCTATACAGGATTGTATCGGGTGCGTATATGGCCAATAGAATGACTTGCAGTGGCCAGCCGATATACAGGCCAGTGATTCTATCCTGCCAAGCGAATCCGGTATCAATTAGTCTTCCTCAGAGGGATGGACGACATGGTTGGCCTAGGCTTATATCGATTCGCCATTCTAATCTGTGACTATGCGGGTGTGATGTGGACGAAGTATTTCGAATTTCAGTATAACTTTGATTTTTTGAAGTCTGCACTTTTGGGAGCGTCCTTTCTTCGAAATAGAAACAGCTGCTTTCCTTCAAGAACCGTCCTCCAACACATCCCCTCAAATTCTCATCCCAAGACCTCTTGAACACCACAAACGCCTCCATTTCACTCATCCCTGAGGAGTTCACCAACTCCAGGTCCTGGTTGTTCTAATAATGCACATGGAAGCGGTGATCGGATGATACCTTTGGTATTCGACTTGACGACCATGACTCGGTCTCATCCATCTCACCAGTTGCATCGATGGTGCCGGACGAGTTCTCGAATACGGCCCAATACGGGATACGGTCCCGAAGGTCCCTCCCTACCTATTCNTTCTTTCCCGGTGACTTGATTGAAGACTTCGTCAATTGTGTTACCGTATCCAGCACGGTGATTGCTATACATTGGCTGCCAAGTCACCGAGCGCCAGATAAAAGTGGGTGGGGAGCTCTACTGTAGAAATGTTCTCAAAGCACTCCTACCAATGCGTTACGCCTATAGCGCGGTCTATGGCAAGGTGGTCGTGCGCGTCTAGTCGATTTCGCCATGATGCTGAAAAACTATTCCATGGTTCGGTCCGGTCTTGTATAGGCATGTTCTCATTTTGATCGAGTCCATCCTTATGGTGAAGCACTGATCAAGCTAGCAATAGGAAGCTGTCTCTACCGCCCAACATGTCCCTTCGTCCATCGGAGTGGCATAATTGGTTGCTCAGTGTTGTCTGAGAGGAGAAAAACACTGACTTAAATGTTGGCTGGTCACCACGGGTCATTGTAAAGGTTCCTTACAAATTCAAAATTGCCCCTACGATTTCGAATGAAAGTCGATTGGCTGGCTAAATCCGAAGTTCAAGTGATCCACACTATAAGACTTTTAACCCTTC